CCGCTCGGCGGAGGGGCGCGGCGGGGGTGCTCTTCTCGCGGGGCTCGCGCAAGCTCGAGTTTCGCTGCGGCGGCACAGAGTTCTACCCTCGCAGCCGTTTGCTGTCATGTACACTGATAGAAAATTATATAGTTGAATTAACTATAATCTCACTATATTTTACAGTTCATTTTGGCGTCAACCATATTTTTATAGTTCGTGGAACCTGCGAAGTATAGTAGAATAAACACAAATCTATAGTCAATGATTATCTTAAATAATTGTTTAGTTACTTTTACCACGTATATGGTAATTTCTCTCATTCACAAATATAGTGAGATTTAATATTCATATAGTTACAACTCTGTCGTCATTTAGCAAATATTCTGGTAATATTGACTATATAAAAGAGTTACTTTACCTACCATTTTATATTTGTATCCGTACAATAATTTTAGTTTAACTCACTATAATCCTTAGTAAAAATATTATATAGCTGGTTATACTATGCCTATATATCGTAATTATTACCGATATTATGACAATACTTGCTATAAATATGATATTTCGGACTATAATTCAGTCACTACTACATCATTACAGTTCCAAATATCATATACTTTTCTCTCAGTGTAGAGAATGGCGCGTATTTCCGCAAAAAGGCCAACATGATCGTCCTCGTCGTCGAAACGGCAGCGGGTGTTCGCCGCACTTTCCGCGGCACATGAACGCGCGCGAGGCTGAGTCAGCGGGTTTACTCCGAGGACATTGAAATTTATTCGGCGAAGCGCGAGCGCGCGCGAGAAAGAGAGAGAGAGAGAGAGGAGCGTTGCGGGAACGAACGAACAGAGAGACGAATCGTACGGATTCTTCGCGTCCGTTGCCGCCGCGCGATCGCGAGTCCTTCGTCATCTTTCTACTGCTCCTAATTGAATCACTCGAAGTGATCTAATTTCCCCGACCGACCGACCGACCGACCGACCGCGACCGACGATCTGAGTCACGATCGCGGATCTCGCGTGTGCCACCATTTCCCGTAATTACGACGAGGAAACCGTGCGCGTTTGCCAGCTTGCAAATAGCGCTCACGCAAATAACCGCGTAGAGCCTCTCCCAGATGGCCAATATTTGAAAGCTCGAGAGACGTCGGAAGGCTTCCGAGTACGTCGCCTCGTCCTTTGCTCATCCGCCGAAAACTACCGTCTCGGACTCATCGTCGACGTATAATTGACAATTATAATTGATGCATCATCCTCTCGGTCGCGTGTATTCGGGACGACCGAGGTAATTTCCGAGGCAGCTCGGCGGAGACGTAACGTTCGGTAACGTGTAACCGGAGGTACCTTTGGTAAATGATCTCCCGGTCGGTAAAGCTTCTCCCCGAAAGCGAGCCTCGCCAAGGCGATCGACAAATTGCCTCGCGACCCGCGACGGAGAGCGACGCAGCGCGCTCGGGAGCGTTCGGGAGCAATTTACCGGACACTCTTTTTCCCGCTCCGCGAATTTCCCGCGGAATCATGCAGCAAGCGCGATCGGTTATTTACGCCGCGACTGACGACTGACGGCGCGTCGTAAAGATGTTTGCGGAAAGAACATTCTTATTCGCGCCCATTACGGGGACGCGGACGATATTTCCAGCGGCGCAAACGGGGGAACGTGAACGGGATGGGGAGAGCGAGAGAGAGAGAGAGAGAGAGAGAGAGAGAGAGAGAGAGAGAGAGAGAGAGAGAGAGAGAGAGAGAGAGAGAGAGAGAGCACGGTTCGTTTTTGTAATAAGATTTATCGCGGCCGGGCAGCGCCGTGGATGTATCTCGCGCGCGGTCTGCTTTTGGTTAATAACAGCGTCGGGACGGCAGATACAAATTGCGAGAGCGGAGCCGGCGAGCGCGAACCCGCGAACAATGGAGGCAACGATGTCGAGCGACCGATTGTGCCGGGGCGCTTCGGAAAAATGTAAACGGAACGTTTGCTCGGTTGGAGAGAGTCGAAATACACGGTAACAGACTGACGCTGACAAGTCTGCAATCAATAATCCTATAAATCCGCTGCCACGTTTCGGGCGTAAATAAATCGATGCGCCGCATCGCGCCGCGCTCCGCTCTTTTCACTAATCATCGCCACCCTCGCTTCCGCGCGAAATTATTTCCAACCGCTGCGCAGTGTCGGCCGAACCGTAACTTCGTTGCCGGAAGAGTTTTCGACACGTTTTCGAATACGTCCGTCTACGTGCATCCGTCCGCAAAACGTTTTTGCCCGATCGCGCGCGTTACGTGCAACGCACTCCACTCACCGTCTCGCTCGCTCTCGAGCGAGATTTTCAGTCGCCGAGGCGGCGAGATGGAGACAAGGCCGAATCGGCGACCGAAGCAGGAGGATTTCTCGATCGGCCGGGGATAACCCCCTCGACTCGAATCATCCATCGCGCGCGTCCTTCCCCCTACCCCCCTCCCCCGGCCTCGCTCATAATCCTCGCGGGGGACACGGGGGAGAGGAGGTCTCTCCGAGCGCGCGATTGATGCGCGCTTAATTAAGGTAATAGCCGCGAGTCATCGTCTAATTAATACACGCTGCTCTCCTCGCCGTCGTCGCGCCGATTCTTATCGTTCGAAGGATGTCGCTGACAAAAAGCCGCCGAGGAGGTGGGGAGGGGGCGGGGATCCCCCGATCCTTATCGCCGGGCTATTAAGTCGTTCCACATCGACGCGCGGCGGCGGCGGCACGGAAGAGAGCGCCCGCGAGAAAAGCCGTAACACGCTGGCGTGTACGGCCTGCTTGGCGTGGCACGGTGGCGGAAGGGCGAAGCAAGGGGGAGGGAAGGAGGATGGGTTACGAGCGCTCTCTCGCTCGGCGGTACACTCGGCCGTCTTAATAGCTTCATTCGATCGCGAAGGGCTCGAGAGGTAATTGATGGTCCTTCATTGTCCCGCCGCGCGCGAGAGCGCGGCAATAAGGGTTGAGACGGGGCGGGGCGGAGGGGGGTAGGTCGATGTCCTTCTCTTCTCTCGCGCGAAAATTACCCTCTTGCGCGTTATTAATGGTCTCGCGAGCAGCGCCGTGCCGCAATAAGCGCCGGCAGGCCGAATTCCTGGCACGTACGAAACGCCAGCGACGTTTAGCTTAGCTGTGCATTATGCGATGTTTCTTCGCGCCGCGCGCGCGCGCGCGCGCGCGCTTCACTCGCTTCAGCTCTCGCGAGAGCCGTCTTCGACAAATGCTCGTGGCAATTAAACGCGACGCGCGCGGCCGCCGCGCGCGCGCGCGCGCGCGCGCTTCTTGCCCCAACGGGGAGGGGAACGGTCATCGGCCGTTCCTCTCATCCTTCCTCGCGACCGAGTTGGTGGAATTTTCGGAAAATTGTCCGAGCGACGTTATTTTCCCCCGTGTGTCCTCCCCGAACGCGCGCCACCCTTCAAACACGGAAAGTCGTTTCCCATTACGCGTTAGTCAGTAGCCGGCAGCGCGCTTGATCGACTCGCGGTTGCTGAACATTGTTGGAAAGCGCGTCAGCTGCAGTGCTCGTTTTTGTTCTCGAATTTTCCGACCCGCTCTCTGACGTCGACGCACGACACACGTGACGTTATAATAATTATCGCCGTTTAATGACCGCAGCCGCGATTCGACCGCGAGCGAGAACTCGTATCCTCAAGCTCAAATCCGAATATCTTACGCGAGACAAGTTTCTCAAGCGACGGCTATTAATAACGGACTCGCGCGTATTAATAGTCACGGCTTGGAACTTGCCGCGTCTCACGCGAGCGATTGCCGCGTCCGGATTTCGAGTCGGAGCTGAATTTTTTCACTCGCTCGTCTCCTTCTTCTCGGCAATTGCGACTCATTGGGAAACAGCTCTCGGCTCCCTTCCGAACCTTCCGAACGCATGTGTGGGACAAGTCTCCGACCATCGATACACGCGTTACACGCGCGGAGACGTGCAGAAGTGCGACGACAGAAAGCTACGTTTATCGCGGAGTGCAAAGTTTCGCGCGGCCGGCCCCGAAATTGTGCGCCCGTCGTCGTCGAGAGAGAGAGAGAGAGAGAGAGAGAGCTCGTTGCAATTCCACAATTGCGAGTATCCGTGATCGTTAATATTCATGCGACTGTTAATATTATCAATATTCATATTCGTTTGGTACACCGACGCCTCTCCCTCTGATCACCCGCGATTGCGCGTGTCGGGGAGGAGGGGGGGGGAGATTTCACGAGAAGCTGTGGCCTTTGGCAAAAGCAGCGGCGGCGGCAGCAGCAGCAGGAGAAGAAGAAGGAGACGGAGAGGCGAGTAGGAGGGAGGGAAGGGGAGAATATTCTGGGTCGCGTCGACGGGGCGCGTCTTCCATTCGCAAGCGCTCGTGAAGATCAACGACCGCGGTTTTCGTTCGGCGCGGCTTATCGCGGCTCCAACACCGATCATCCGTTTTTCCGAGACGGGGGTGCGCTGCTGCTTCTGCCACCGCCGCTCCTTCTCTCCGTCGCCATCCTTCGGAGGTGGACGGAGACAAAGCGGCCCGACATAAATAATTTATCTGGAGAGTCGCGAGGCGAGGCGGGCCGGGCGGGGGGGGGGTCGGCGGCGCGTCGACGGTGCGATGGCGCGGCGTACGTTGCATTAAATATGAAATCCAATATAAACTTTCGAGCGGTATAAACCTCGGAGCGGGCGATATAAATTCTCGCGCCGCTCATCGTCGTGCGCGAGATAACGCGCGAGACGCGCCTTCGCCGCCCCCCCGGCGGTGTCCGTAATCGTGTTTGCTTCGTTGTCTGAGCGAGCGTCGCGGCTCAACACCCGCGTCCCGTCATCTAGCTTCTTCCCGTTCGCGCGCCCGGCGATCGCGTGCGAGTCCGATCCGCGACGGCTTTTAATCCCCGGCTACTGGACGGCTACATCACGCGATGAAAGATAAAAATGCGTCGTGTTACATTCGAACAAGTTGAAGGAGATGCGAGCGCAACGCGCGGGCCATGTTGACGAGTCATGTTGACGAGCTGAAGCTCTCACTCCGCCTCTCTTTGCTTTTTTCCAGGATGCAGAGACAAAGCCGGCGCGGTTCGGAGGTGGAGGTTGCGCTTATGCGCCCCGTAAGCACAGCTGGCTAATAGCCACGGAGCCCGTCCCCGACACATCCCGCAGCCACACCAGGTAAGGAGAAGACGCGTACTTTGCACTCTCTCGCCGGCGGATGTTCCCTGCTCGTGTCGTTTTGTCGCGCCGCGCGCGTTTCCCGCGCGCGAGCGTGGAAATGCGCACGCACGAGACGCCGCAATTAGTCGCCGCTGATCTCGCTTGAGGAGAAATCGGGAGGCGCTCTCTTGGTCGAGCCGCTTGCGACGTCGAGCGAAAGGTGCTCGTGTCCGACGCTTTTGCAGCTAACGATCGCGAAGAAGAAGCGCACTTGCCCGCATTTGACTCTTCGCGTTTCCGTTTCACGAGCACGAGCGGTTCGCTGACTCAGCGGCCGCTGATACCAGCACACGTGGCTATAATTCACGGCTGAGCGTCTCGTGCCATCCGGATAATATCTCATGCATTTACGTGTACGCCCGAGATATTTTCGAGAACATTTCCCGACCAACGGGGGAGGGCAAGGGGAGAGCAGCAGCAGCAGCAGCAGCAGCAGCTCCGTTTTCATGTCGCGTCGCGCCAATTTCGCCGGCCGGACGCGGGCCGTTCTCTTTATTCTCACTTTAATCGCCGCTTTTCTGACATTTTCGCCAGTCCGGGCGATGCGCGCGCGCGCGGACTGTCAGTCCGCGCTCCCCCCGGTCGCCGCGCACTTACGGAGAGGCACTTTGAAAGTACCACCGTCGCCGCGAACATTGTCGCGCGATAATAGGGAGAATACAAATAGGCTGGTTTGCATTAGAATTTCATTTGGCCGGCCAATGAGTGCGCTTTCCTCGAGCTTGCGCGGTTTAATGGGTGGTACATGTGCCATTTGCGGTCGCGCGCCGGGACGGATGAAACGACACGGCGCGCCGCTTAAAATAAACGTCCACCCTCCACCGAGTGTATTAAATCGGTGTGACAAAAATGTAATCGGGATATTAAAAGGTCAGGCCGCTCCGTCTGCGTGAGAAACAGAGACGGGGAGAAAGGGAGTGTGATCTGTCTCTCAAATTCCACATATTTATACTTGATACTACGAGATACTACGAGAAGGAGAGAGGGAGCGAGACGACGACGGCGACCTATTTGCGCTGTTAGTATGCGCGCATACAGATTGCAAGTTATTCTGTTCACGTGGAAATACACACGGCCCGTTGCTCCGAATAACTCTGTTCGCCTTCATTTCCAATTCTCCGGGGCGATACCGGAGCGCGGATATTTAAAGGCGCACGATGTTTACCATATATTTGCCATTTTAATCTGAAGCAACGCATGTTTACGACACGAGCAATCGCGTTTATACAGTCTCTCGCGGTTGCACGCGGCGCAGAGATACTGCGACACACCGCGGCGCGAGGCGATAATAAAAAACAGAATAAAAGCGTGAAAAAAGAGAGAAGAGGCGCAGCGGAGAGTGAGAGCGAGAGGGGGGGGAGGAGGAGGAGGAGGAGAGGGAGGACACGCGAGATGACGAATTCAGCGGGGATTCTTTCGCGGGCGATCCGCGCGATATTTCGAGACCGACAACGCTCGCTCGCTCGCTCGCTCGCTCGCGCGCGCCGGTGCGCTCGCGTAAATTGCATAATGCAAATCAGCGTGGTTTCAGCCGAAAGCACGCACCTCCAGCGAGGGAAAAAAGATTCGTCAAAATTCATGGTCGCCGGTAGGGAGAAAGGGAGAGAGGCAGAGAAAGAGAGCAGCAGCGGAGCTTTCGTGTTTAAGCGCTACTACGGCCGTTTCTTCGTCCGACTGCATTTTTCGGCGCGGCAGCGCGGAATCGCCGGCGTTCTCCGCGGCTCGCTGTATTTTTCCCGCCCACGAGGGAAAAACGGCCGGCCGAGTTTTATCTGTCGTCGGGACAGCGTATATACGTTCTCGGAGACGTCACTCTTCGTGGCGCGTGGGCGAGAGAGAGAGAGAGAGAGGGAGAGAAAAAGAGGAAGAAGCGAGTTTCATCTCGCCAATGAGAGGCACGCTCGGCCGCTCGCGCAGTCCGCAAGTTTTCTCCCTTTTTCCCGGCCCGTCCCGCTGCGTCGCTCGCGCGAGTAAATACTCGCACGCGTTAACGCGTTGGACAAATGTCGTTTCCGCGCGTTGATCCGCGAATACTCTCGGCGATTCCGCCGCGCGCCGCGCCACGCCCGTTCGGTCGTAGCGCCCTGTAATTCGGTGTAATTTATTTGGCGTAACCCATTTCGATTATGGCGCGCGGGGCCGTTAATGTCCAACGCGCGAGTGAGCGTATTTCGTTGAAGTCAAATAAACGGGCCGATTCCGCGCGCACGCGCGCGCGGCACAAAGGACCGCTGACCCGGGCCGCGGTGTGTTTTTCGGGCCGGCGATGATCCGCCCGGCGATTCGGCGATTAATCAAAATCTGCCCGCGACGCCGCGGCCGCGGGATATTAAATAATCCCTTCCGGAAATTACCTCGATTCGCGCGACCGCGCGAATTTCATCCGCGGCAAATTCGCGTTTTCCGCGCACCCGCGCGCGAGCCGTCGAAAATTCGACGGAACTATCCGGAGTCCGCGTCGTCGCTTCGTCGGCCGCGCTCGCCCCGGATTTTCGCGTTGAAAAGCCGCCAAATTTTCGCGAGCGGGGCCACCTTTTCGCGTCGTTTCCTCGCCGCGAAATCGCCCGGAGAATTCCGCCGATTAGGTTGCCGATTGACTCGACCTGTTTCTCGTCGCGCGTTCGATTTAACGTCGTCGCGTAGCCGGCGCGCCGAAACACGAGCGCCACAATGCGGAGCACGAGAACAATCGTATTCTGCACATGCTATTGATCTCACGAGCATCGCCGCGGTGCGCTGCACGCGACTCGCGTTACGTTTTATAGTACCACACTCGCACTCTTCCTCCCTGCCCCTCCCCCGCCTTCCCCCGTCTCTTTCTCTCCTTCTCGTCCTGGCGTACCGTAATCGTAGCGAATCCCATCTCGTCGGAAATCTCCGGTAAACACACTCTGTGGGCGCGCGACTCACCCCGGTATCGTGTATCGACCGACTTTAGGAGTCGCGCAGGAGCCGCGTTACGAGCGCGCGCGCGCGCGCGCGCGAGAGAGAGAGAGAGGTCGACGAGGAGCGAAGGACGACGACGCGGCAAGGGGTCGTAGGACGAGGAGCACGAGGAGGAGGAGGAGAAGGAGGAGGTAGGAGCGATTCCACCTTGCATGAATATTCAATATCGAGAGCCGACGTGATTTCGCAAGCCGCCTACTCTTTATCGAAACTTTCTCGTCGCGTCGACGTCATCGATAACCGTCCGTGAAAGGAATTCTTTTCCCGAGTGCGATCCCCCGCCGCTACGGTCGCAGGTTAGTGAGAGAGAGAGAGAGAGAGAGAGAGAGAGAGAGAGAGCCGGTGGGTTTATTTCTCTTCCCCCATCCCTCTCCTCGCCACGTCAAGCTCTGCTCGCATATTTACTCGCTATTTGTTCAGCGCTCTTGCGTCTGTCGTGTTTCCACTTGTCCGCCTCGTGTTGCCGAAAATTATGAATTAATTTCGTAGGCGCGTGCACGAGGTGGATCGCCGCTGCTTTGCCGCTCGTCTCGCTCGCGTCGCCGTGTGATCCGCGCGACGAGTCGTTAATCGAATCTCTCCCTGATGAACCGTCGACCCGCTTTTTAAATATGCACGAACCTAACCGAGTCGATCGGGACGAGCCAGCGCCAGCTGTCATTCCGCTTGTCACTTTCGCGGTGCTTAATTATCCGCGATTTTCCCGTCGTTCCTCTCTCACCCTCTCTCCTCCCCCCTCTTTCTCTCTCTCTCTCTCTCTGCTCTTCTCTCTTTTCACTTTGTTTGGTTCGCCAAAAATACAGCGGTGCGTTCTTTTACGCGGGTCGTATGCCGATTAACAATTTGCGTCATTAGACCAGATGACGATATAACGTAGTCGCCGCTCTTCCAAATGTTCTTTCTACACCTTCTTCCTCACTCTCTCTCTCTCTCTCTCTCTCTCTCTCTCTCTCTCTCTGTTCCCGTGTGATATATGATTTGCCGACCTCAACGGCGTAGCTAGAATTCACGGACTGTTACTCAAAGCGCTTCGGCGACGTCTGCTTTGCCTCCTCCCCCTCCCGCGTCCACGGCGCGGTCATTTCGTTCGCCCGAAGAAGCGAAAAAAATGTTTCCCAAAGCGCCTGCCATTGGCGCGCGATGTCTGTTTCTCCGCGGAACTTTTCTCGCGAGGAATTACCACGCCGTGCTGCAATTTACCGGGCACTCGGCAATAACAATAACACCGGTGATAAAACCGGGATCCCGGCGTACGAATTTCTCTCTTTCCGGCTTAATTTCCCGGTTTAATACCGACAGCGAGAGAAAAAGAGGAGACGGAGAGGAGAGGGCTGATCGACCCGCTACACTTTACGGCACAGTCCGCGCGCGCGCGCGCGCGTGCGTTCCCTCTCGCTCATCATTCTGCTCCGCCAACGGAGCCAGGCTGCTGTAATTTGCGCAAAAGCGAAAATTCGCCGAGATAATTCATCAGGAATTTCAATCGGGCGACCACTTTGCGGACGGACGACGCGTCAGCTGCAGCGCGTTTCTGCTCCGCGCGCGTGATGGAAATTCAGCCGCTGTGTTGATCGTCCGCAGCCGAGTCGGGCTGCTGCGCTTCGGAGTTTATCCACACGCGAGCTCGCCGCTCGCCGCTCGTTCGTCGTCCGATATTAGCAACAACAATCGCGATAAACGCGTCGATAAACGCCGCCGTCGAACGTTACGTGGCCGACGCGGCGTAACGAAACGCCGCGGCGCTCCCGATGAAACAACGGGCCCCGAGCGAACGTTTTTCTCGCTCCCCCTCCCCCCCCGGGTCCCCCCTTTTGCTCTATTCATCCCCTTTTGATAACGCACGCGTGAACAGTTGGCGTGCGCTTTGCTGAACGAGATACCCACGCCGCGGCGCTGACGGCTATTGAACTTTATCCCCCCCTCCCCTCCCCTCCCGCTGGTCCCCGCGCGGCCACTCGCTCCCGTGAATACAGCGGTTAAAGTTATTCGACGCTGGGTTGATCTTTCATCTC